CAAGCTTTATATTCACTAGTAGGTTCCAGCACGGGCAGATTATACAATCTAACACTGGTTTGGTGAGCACAACATCCTCAAGCCCGGCTGGTTTCGGAAGGTCGAAAAGTACGAAGAAGCTTGCGATAATGTCCTTCAGACTTCCTGTGGCACGAAATAGGGGTGATCCAACGCGGACACTCCATCGACCTCGGCACTTACTCTTACTACACCTCCACCTATACCCGTCTGGTGAAATTACATCAACACAGATTTCAGCTGGCCATTTACATTCGTAACATTCCTTTTCATTAACAATCACCTTCCTTCTCGCCAAGAAGCGTAACACTGACGCGTTGTCCTGCATATCCGCAGCTTTGTATTTCCCGGTCAACATCTCCTCCTTCAACTGCTCGTGGTCCAGTATCGTACTTGGTTCCACAATCTGACTTCCCGCTAGACGTGGATTGGCTGACGATCCTCCAGACGCACAAGCAGAAGCTGAGTCACCGGCTTTGGAATCCATCTTGGTGGAAGTTGGTATCGCAATATACGACAGCAGATTTGCATTGGCTTGTCGTCCAAGACTGTGGGCTAGTTAATGACGCACAAAACATTTTATGCAATTCCACTAGTGACATACATTGCGTGTTAAATTTGTAACTACCTGCTACAATATCACAATGCAACCATGACTGGAGTATGCCAGACAATATCTTTCTCGATTTTGGCGCTGGGGTTTGTAGTTTGCTTGACCTAACACTAATGAGTGGGAATCTACACGTCATCTTGAGTGTCAAATATTGAATCCTTGTCATCAAACGTGATAGACCTTCCACTTGGCGATCTTTCGAGACATCACCACTCCTCAGAGAGTTTCTGGGAATTAACAGCTCGTCAGTTGAATTGTGAGTCGGGCAAGTGAGAATGCGAAGCAGGAGCTCCTACGTCGGTAGCAACACACACTGGACATGGTTAGCAATAGAATTTTACCGTTCACGCTAAATCCAACGGTACTCGTACCCAACACCCGATACACAGTCGCTTTGGTATCGTTTCGACGATAGAAAACTGTGTTTAGCGGGAGAAGGAAACGGTAAGATTCCGACTAGGGTTGCGTCACAAGTCGATCGTTGTGTCAGAAACCGAAATGACTTCAAAACACACAAGAAAACAGTACAGGCCAACGGTCGAAGTTAGCGTGAACGGTAAAATGCTATCCATGTCTACTGCCTCAAGCATTGTTGATTTCGCGACAACCTCTTCTTCGTCTTTTGTGGACTCATCAGCGCAGCACAGAGGAAATGGGGCCGAACCTGATAGCAATGAATAATAAAGCCAGATTTAAACCAGGTCCGAACTTACCTTGCCAGAGTGCTCAAACTGAAAAGTCAGTGAGCTCTGCATACTAGTAACGCAAGAAGCAAAGGCACTACCCCACGCAACAGTGCTCAACTGCTAAGTAGAACTCACTCTGCCGTCATCACCATGTTTCATCGAAGGCAATGATCATTTTTCCAAAATCGATTTTCAAGTCACTCTCATCGATGGAAATACGTAACTGAAGTGAAGCCAACCAAGGGAAACATTGCTAAAGTAAACATTCGCAATTATTGTGATGCAAGTTACGAGCAATTAACTAAATGATAGCTAGATGGCACAAAGGGCACAAAGAAGTCGTGAACTTTCAAGTTGACCACAAACAAAACAATCTCAGCGCAACTTCATGTTTCAACTGTTTACACAGACCAGGCTTCTGTAACCGAATACACACAGCTTGAAGAACCATCAACTTTCTGGCATAACGTACACGACACAACACAGAAAACAAAACATCATCATCGTACACTTCCAAACACTCAGGGTGAGACATCAAATTAAGTAAAACTACTGACTGCTTACGATCGTCATTCTCATACAACTCATCATCTCCTTCATCATCAACACTGCCGTCTACGTACCGGTAATCCTTAGGCTGGTATTTCCTTACATCCTCCCCCTGAACTCCTGTCGCTTCTCCATATTGTTCATATTCATTATAAACTGCCTGTAGACTGCTCCTGTGACCATCTTGGTAAGCCCTTGCATCAACTTGTGTCTAAAAGCCGCGTTTCTTGTATAAATAGAATGCTGTTATCATTAACAGATGACTATGGGGAAGATTAAAGTAACAGAGGTGACAGGATTGAAGCCCTGAGTAGACGACGTCAGCGCCGCCTCGAGAGTTGCAGTGCCCGCCAAAGGCTATGCCGACAGCACCAAAAAATGCTCTAACCACTGAGCCATAATGTAGCTACAATATGCTACTTACTTTATCACTTGTGATTTCTTTCCAATATTGTGTTGCGCAAATATTGAACGCTCGATGCCAGGGTGTCCTTATCCAGCAGATTTACACAATAGTAGTGGAAGTCTTGGTTGCTCATGTTCTCCACGCTCCGGTGTTGCTCGAACATCCTGATCAACATTTCCGAACACATAACATGGAACAGCCACATTTCGACTAAGGGATCCAGATTCAACTCTGTGTGTGTGTTTGTCTGTGTGGTCTGTGTATGTGTGTGTTCACCTGTGATTGTGTGTCTGTGTGTGTTTTGTGTGTGTGTGTGTGTGTGTCTGGGTCTGTGTGGGGTCTGCTTGGGTGTCTGTTTGGGTGTCTGTGTGGGTGTCTGTATGTGTGTGGGTGCCAGCTAGTTTGGAGGGTGGGTACACTTATGCCTGATTGTGCTGGGTCTGTTGCCAACGGGCTCGGCTGCTTGAAGGTGTAATGTTGTACCTGCCACCTTTGTTGGTTCCAGGGTTCATAACAGTTACGCTTTCTATTTGAAGTATACATACCTGTTAACCATGGACTGCTTCTGGCTAGATTAACCCTTGTGTAATCAATGGTGCTAGTGAAGCTTTTATCAGATCCACTCTGATTTAGCCACCCACAATAGTAGCAAGTATTACCTTCACTGGGGACAGGGGTAACTGCAGTTGGATCCCGGGACGGATACCCTGATGCCGTCAATCCTTTTTTCTGCACCGTGTCCTCACCCACTTACTGAGGTATGGTGAGCCCAGAAGTGGGATCATTTTCAAGTCCACCGAGAGTTTTGGGGGTTTCAGGAGGTGTCGGCCGTTGGGCGGGTCAATAGCCGATTGAGTCATCTTTCCAAGATTCCTTTTGAGTCTCTCTCCCCTCTCCTGGGGAGACCCACGTGACCAGTCTAGGCAGTGAGCAACAAGAACAAGACAAGTGTATGTGTGTGTGTGGGTGGGTACCGGGTGTGTGTGTGGGTGGGTGTGTGTGTGTAGGGGTGTGTGTCTGTATATGTATTTCTGGTTGCTGAAGTGGCGTCGGTCTCGTCTGTGGCATCGGCAGACTCGGTCCGGAAGCATCGGGTTGCCCTGCCCTGCTGGAGAGCGCATTGTCTCAGCTGCGGTCGCTGCTGCAAGTCATCCCGTGGTTTCGACCTGCATAGCTGTGCTAATTTCCTGTCCAGGAAGTAGAGCAGCGTTTCTGGATCCAATGCTGAACTCAGTGCCGTCGACCCTGCACAGGGGACACGTGACCATTTGATGGCAGTGTTATCAAGGACCAAGGACCAAGGACCAAGGACCAAGGTGTATGCGCGTGCGTGTTTGACAGTAAGTAGCACACATATTTAGCAAAGACGTGAAAGCGGCGTTATGGTCACACAGAGACAAGTGTTGTTGTTGTTGTTGTTGTTGTTGTTGTTGTTGTTGTTGTTGTTGTTGTTGTTGTTGTTGTTGTTGTTGTTGTTGTTGTTGTTGTTGTTGTTTATTTATTTTACATCGCAAGGCAAACGGGCAGTTCTGCCCAATATTATGGAAGCGATGACAACCAGTAAGAAGAGTCAGAAATGAAGAGAAAAATAAATGAAAATAAAAATACGAAAATGGAAGTAGCAATGAGGGGAGGCAGGGTCAAGACGAGCAGAAAAAAATGGATCTCAAATTTACAAGTCGGGTCATCGTAGCATGATTCTATTGAGCCTCATCAGCAGGTTACGAAAGCCATTACATTGTAACAAGACGGCAACGTCTGTAGGGCCTTCCCTATCAAAATAATAAATTCTACTAGTCTGGCTTTACCTCCCCATCCGGGCCTGAATCCGCTCTGGGATCGGCCGTGCCCGGCTCCCCTGTAATGGGACATTCGGGCCTCATCTTTCTGGTGCGTCCTGTACGAGGATGACGTAGTCACGGCGGTTGCCAGCAGCTGGGCTGGGGAAAGGTTTTTACGTCGCCTGGAAAGGATCATTGCATCATTCTCTGCGTTGTGTGCTGGGTATCTTTCACCGAGGAAGCTGAGTGCCAGAATATCCTGCTTGTAGCTAGTTCGATTAGAAGCAAAACAGAAGAGGTACAACACCAAGAACGGACAATCTAGCTGTGAACTGGTGTAGTGGCTTGGCTTCTACAGTGTGCCATGAGCAGAGAGTAGTAATATTGTAATAGGTCGCCGAGTGGTATCAGGAGGCACACACAAGAAGACTGACTAATATTATGTTATTCGGCTCAATCTGCCTGAAGTTACATGTATGTATACAACTGCTCCGGCTCAATCTGCCTGGAGGGACTCTGAAAGGAATACAACTGCTCCGGCTCAATCTGCCAGGAGGGACTCTGTTCTGTTCTGAAGAAATGAGTAAAGCATGGCAGCTTTTATAGGGCGAAAAGGAAGGAGATCATCATAGCGTCTGCATGAGCCATGAGTCATGAAAAAGGGCAAAAGTCTGTTGTGTCAGTCCAAACAGAACTTGGGAAGGCATAGCAACAGTATCTAAATGTATAAGGATGAAAGAAGCAAACGGAACTTTGGAGGGGAACAGAGGCCAGGGAGGGCATTGGCAAATGGATGCAAACAGGATCTAGAAAGGGTCATGACTGTCCGCATGACCTCAGCCAGGGTCAGGGAGGTTCAGTACAACATGTGGGTGTTAATAGACCGATCCCCTTATTATACTGGGTTCGAGCACGGGGGCAACCTCACCCGCGATTGAGCTAATTTTTGAACGTGACAGCATCTTTGACAGTGTGTTTCAGGTTTGTTTTGGAATGTCTTCTGCTTAGTTCAAGTAGTTTGCGATGGCTTCGAGCGGTGCTGAACCTCCTGCTGGTAGGAGCAGAGTCTCTGAGAAAGACATGGACTGTGATGCAGCTGTAGGATTTTTTCAAGGCGCGGGAGGGAACGATCTCGGGCCACGAACAGGAGTTACTCCAGAGGTGAGTTTTTTTGTTGTTGAAATATTCGAATCGTGAATCGTGTTTTGAGATTTATTTTGTGCCTAGGCTTTAGCAGACCGTATTTCTTTCTCCTTGAGATCGGTGCTGAAGACAATAGTAACCTTTTTCTGGTCTGCCTTTTCCTCTCCAGAGCCATCTTCTATGAAGGTAACTGTGGTGCTGCCAAGTCACCAAGTCGCGATCGCGATCAGCAGCCCTGAAGTGGAAAAATCGATTTTCCACTGAACGATCTGGTTGGACATCAGCCACTAAAGTACTTCTGATTTGCCTGTAGTGACAACAGCAGCCATCCTTGGACACCTTGCAAAGACAGGAAAAGCCACTGGTGGAAGCGACTGCTATGAGGTGACGATAGCAGTGCAGCGGTGATCGCTGTTTTGTCAAGTCGAAGGGCTAGCCAACCCAGAGGAAGCAAAAAAAAACCATGAGCAGTGCGTGGTATTTGTTGAGCGTGAAGAGCTAGAGGAGGACAGTGCAAACACATGGATGGAGTGGATGGTGGGGATGGAGTGGATGGTTTTTGAAGAACAGTGTGCTGTGTGCCGGCTGGTGGTGATGGTGGTCTTTGTCAGCATGTATTCGTGCTGCTTCTTGTGCTGGAACACTTCTCGCCCAGGAAGGCAGATTGCGTGCTCCTGGCCCTCAGTCGGCAATGGGGTATTTGTTCCAGGAACATTACCCCAGAGCCAGTGATGAGTCGTACCTTTGAAAAGTTGAAGCTTGCTGTTAATCGCAAGCGTAGCGCAGTGGATTGCTCCCTCATCGAAGCACGAGGGCGAAAGCTTGCCGCTGTCTGCAGCAAAGTGTGTGTGCGGTTCTTTCGAACCTATGAATATACCCCCCCCCCCCTCTCTCTTAGGAAGACTGCATGTTCAGAGTGAACTATTTTCTAGTATATTTAATGTGAGACGGGCTGTTTACGCCCAAGATGAAGATACAGGTTTTGTTTTCCATTTCTATACCTTCCTAATAAAATACATCGTGACAGAGCTTTCGGTCATACTCCGCTGTACTACATCCTCAACCCGCCACCACCATGCGCTCTTGGCCGAACTAATGCACGAAGCATAAACACACCAGCACAGCAAGGACACTTCCGTTGACAGATATTATTTACGCCTCTAGACAGCTGTTTCGTTTCTTCAAGCTCATCGTTAGAGGAGGATAGTAGCAGGAATATAAGATGATACTAGTAGACGGTTTATGGTCCGATATTGATGATTGGAGATCTAAGAAAGCAATGACAGTGATTGCGAAATGGATAATATTATCATGATTATATGCCAGTCTGGTAATGCATAGTACTAGTGAACAGTATTGAAATCATCACTGCATTCGATGCAAATATTGGTATACCTTTGGTTTCAGTATTGGAAAAAAAGAACCTGGTTGATTTGGTTGCATCTGCGACTGGCTACCGGGTGTTGTGACCGGCAATGTTACCATGGGAGAAAATAAGAGCGCAAGGATCTGTTAGGTCTTGTTGTGCCGTGCCGGTGCGAGAACCCTAAGTGCATGGCAAAATAGAACTGTTTCATCCCCATTGCAGAATGTCTTGCGGTACATGGCATTGATGACTGAACATCTCGCCAGCTCACCCAGATGGGGATCATGCCCAAACGGAGGAACAAGACATCTTTCCAGCTCAGCTAGCTATATACCGTGAAACGGCTGGTTAACTTGTGCCACGCATGCCAGCTTCTGTTCCATTCGGCCCAGGCTTAGACACATCAATGCCAGTAGCAGCTGATCCTCCATTACATGCTCATTGGCGATTTACGGCCACCTCCAACTGTATCCGCCGTCCCTCAGCTTCCGTCTTCGCAGATCTGGCGCGGCGCAGTACATTTTCTCGGCTAGGCTCAAAGAAGTCCCACAGAGCGGTCCAAACACCTGAAGGCAAACCAGTCAGAAACTGGAGCGGCTCAGAGTCTTTCTTTATGTTATTGTACGTAAGCTGTTTTTCGGCTTTCTTCACCCCAGTCCTCACATCGTCCAACTGCTCCACGAGACTCTGTACACGAGCTCTACTTGCTGCCAAATCCTGATGCAGATGCTGCACTTCCATTACAGGACCAAACTGCACTAAGCCAGGTTCCTTTCCAACTCAAAGTGCCGTTGCCTCTCAGCAAAATACTGGTTTGCGAGCATGGGGAGCTCGTGATGCAGACGCTGCACTTCCATGACCGAGCTGCACTAGGCTCAGCAAATACTGTTTTGCGATCATGGGGAACAGGGCGTCCAGACTCCACTCTCTTGCGAAAAGCAAACCTGGTACCGTAGGACAGCTGTTTGGTTTCCTGGACTCATCCTGTCCTTGTAGAGCTGGGCAAAACGATTTCGATTTCGGGATCGAAATGATCGCTGCAACTCAAATATTCAGAGTGACCCTAAAACTACGTCCTTCCTCACGGGGAATAGCCTGGATCCCCTTGCTCCAGGCCGCTGTGGCTCCACACGAGGAAAGGAGTGAAATGACTTGTTTGCTTCGTCCTCCTGTTCTGACAGTGAGGAACGCAGCAATGTTCTGAGAAGGCATCCTGAAGTCGTAAAAAGGAAGACGTCTAAACAAAAACAAAACAGCTCAAATCAAAAGTCCTTGCAGCTTGTGGCATTTTTTTGTAGACAGGCTTGCACTGCATGTAGATCTCGTGTGCTCTGCACTTCGCATGCCAGAAGTCACGCACAGCCGCGGTGAGGTTGGTCGCGTGTGTGCAGCAGGATCCCACGCGACTGCGGAGTTGCCCCCTTGCTCGAACCCAGACAATAATAAGGGGATCGGTCTATTCCACATGTACATACAGGTGTGATGATCTAAACTAGCAAAGATATGTAATATGCAATCCAGCAAGCGCAAGAGAAACACAAGTAGTGAGAAGTGATATATTAGCTTTGCAGGCTTGTCAGTAAAGGAGTGACAAGAGTCATGCAGTGCATGTACGTGTACATGTGACATGATTAGAGGTCAGTAGATATTACATAGTACTAGCAAGGCAGGGATACTACACCCTCCCTTCCTACAGATAATCACGCCCTCGTGATTTTTCAAAAGTATTAAGTTATTAAAGCAGGAGTACGAATGATCATTATGGTGAGACAGCATGGCTTGGTAGACGGATAATAAAGTAGGGACCCTGTGTGTATAATGTGTGAAGGACCTGTCTCTCTGTGGAGCGGGTAATTGTATGCGTTCGCGTCTCAAAACTGGACGGTAACAGTTCTTCATTCGCGTCTCTCTGGGACGGTACAACGGGCAAAGTAGACTCGCGCATCATGTGGCGGTATATCATGTTACATGGACTGGTTATTTGAGTGCGTGCTTGCAGGGTATACAGTATTTGGGGTCTGAAACGGATTGCTTGGTCGGAACGGGGTGGACATGATCGGGATGGGTAACGAAAAGGCTAGGACACTTTGTGGTCAGACCGGGGAGAAAGCGGTTGTAGGGGAGTGTCAGTGGGACGGAATGTTGGGCGATCTAGAACTGGGTACTGCATGTATCTGGACGGACATGAAGGTATATGTAGGGTTGTGAGTCCTAGGCTGTTGATCGAATGGTGGGGCGGGGACTGGGAGTGGGATTGTCTGTGGGATGGAGTGGCTGAAGGAACGTGGAGGGCCTTGTGTATAGCGTGTAGTGTAGCAAACAAACTAAATGTGAGAGATGTTAGCAGGGGAACAACTTTGGCAGCAGAACGAGTTAGTGATAGGGATAGGGCCGCAAGGAGCGAGGCGAGGAGCATAAGAACAGAATGAAAACTACTGCTGGATGGGGGAGTTTGCATAATGCGCGGCGTTGCTTGCACGATAGGGGTAGCATGTGTACCAGTAACAGTTGCATTTGACGGGGTTGATGATTGAGTAGGGATAAAGCAAGAAGGGTGACATACCTGGGTTGAAGGGAAGATGTGCCGTGTATCGCGACGACGATAGCAATACGCAATGGCATGGCCAATCTGCTTGCAGTATCGGCAATATGGGCGAAGACGAAAGGGCCGACGTCGCTTGGGTCGTACATATACCGGTGGCTGTAGTCCAGGGACATACCGGGCATGGAAACTCGCTGAAGAATGATGGTGATCCATTTTGCGGGAACGCGGGCGTCGCAGCGTCGATCTGCTGTTCGGATGGACTGGCGAACCGAGATTCTGCATCGTTGTCAGATCGTCATGGGTTCAGAACCGCGGTGGGGGCCAATTAACGGTGCTTTCCGCTCATCGTTCGAGGCTGCCATCAAGGTAATAGGTACTAACAACGAGAATGACGACAACGATTGACTAAGGACGGCAACAACAAGACTGAAGTAGCGTAAACAGTAGATTTACAGTACAGGGACGAAATCACGCACCGCTGCCACCAGTGTAATAGGTAGGTTCGAATCTTACAAAGGAACGTCGTTAACTTTAACCACCGCGCCACCAGTGTAATACAGATACTAGGTGGGTTCGAATCTAGCAATTATAAAATTGAACCACCGCTGCCACCAGTGTAATAGGTCGCCGAGTGGTATCAGGAGGCACACACAAGAAGACTGACTAATATTATGTTATTCGGCTCAATCTGCCTGAAGTTACATGTATGTATACAACTGCTCCGGCTCAATCTGCCTGGAGGGACTCTGAAAGGAATACAACTGCTCCGGCTCAATCTGCCAGGAGGGACTCTGTTCTGTTCTGAAGAAATGAGTAAAGCATGGCAGCTTTTATAGGGCGAAAAGGAAGGAGATCATCATAGCGTCTGCATGAGCCATGAGTCATGAAAAAGGGCAAAAGTCTGTTGTGTCAGTCCAAACAGAACTTGGGAAGGCATAGCAACAGTATCTAAATGTATAAGGATGAAAGAAGCAAACGGAACTTTGGAGGGGAACAGAGGCCAGGGAGGGCATTGGCAAATGGATGCAAACAGGATCTAGAAAGGGTCATGACTGTCCGCATGACCTCAGCCAGGGTCAGGGAGGTTCAGTACAACATGTGGGTGTTAATTCTACATGTACATACAGGTGTGATGATCTAAACTAGCAAAGATATGTAATATGCAATCCAGCAAGCGCAAGAGAAACACAAGTAGTGAGAAGTGATATATTAGCTTTGCAGGCTTGTCAGTAAAGGAGTGACAAGAGTCATGCAGTGCATGTACGTGTACATGTGACATGATTAGAGGTCAGTAGATATTACATAGTACTAGCAAGGCAGGGATACTACAATATTATAACTGTAGTTTACTACTACTTGGTTCAAAGCATACCGTCACGTGAGGCGCTCCCTGGTAGGCCTTTGCGGATAATGCCGGCAGAGAAATTGGCAGAATTCGGTACTTTTTCTGGTAAGTTTCATGCATGTTTGGTATGTGGATAAAGAAATGGAGCAGAATTTGAGGAATTGCCCGCCAGAAGGCTTGTATGGTTCTGCCAATTTCACTGCTTTTCGACCAGAATCTGCCACCTTTTCGAGCATCATCCGCCAATGCCTACTCCCTGGTGCCACGACTAACCGGTGTCCGGAGGCTCGTCTGGATATCTGTGCAAGGGGCTTCTGGTCTCGGCAGCAAGACGCATTTTTGATGTTAGAGTGACTCATCCTTCAGCGTCCTTGCAGTCGAGACCGGAGGTTTTTGCTCAGCTAACCAGGAATGAGCAACAGAAGAAAAGAACATACCTGCAGAGGGTAATACATGTCGAGAGAGGTGCATTTACGCCCTTGGTTTTTGCAACCAATGGTATGTGCAGCCAGGAGTGTTCACGTGCCCTGAAGAATTTGGTTGGCTTAATCATCAACAAGCATTTTGATTTACATTATTGAGGTGCTGTATCTCTTTCTTGCTATTAAAATGGCTTGTAACGTGTTTTCGTGGATGCAGGGCTTCCTATTTGCGCCGCCGAGCACGCTCATCATTTCTCGACCAATGCCGCTTGCATGATTTGTTGGCTGGCTTCATCAATAATAGTGTGTTCTGCGTCGTTTTCAGGCATGCTTGGTAAAATATCATTTTTCATTGTTAATAATAGCGACCTACTCAGTCTTGCGTAGGAATGTCAATTGAATAATAATTATTATCCTATCCACGATGGGAATTAATCGTATTGCGTGACCGATCCTTTCAATGTTCTTATCTTTACTTTTCCTTTCCCGCCTGGACTCCTCCTTGGGGGTTTCCCTTTTTCTCTCTAGCTTGTCTCTTCCGATGGAAAATAAAAGAATACTACTACTACTACTACTCTTGTACCTTGTTGCTATTATTCACTTAAATGTGGGGCTCTGAATAAAACAAGTCGAGAAGCATACCGTCGCAGGTTAAAACCCCGTATGATCACGTGATCAGGAATTCACATTGTAAGCTACTGGCTCGATAGTTCACTGGGTTGAAAACAGACTGCCTTTCATGACATTGAGTACGGATTGAAAGGCGTTCATCGGCTGTAGACATGGCAACAGTCACGCCATGAGATTGAGAATGACAAGTCTTGGAAGAGTGTCAAGCAAATTATGTAACTGATCGATTGCCTCGTCTGGAGACTCAGCTGGCACGGGTTTGCCGTCCTCCAGCAAGCTACGCTGATCGTCTTTCACCTCAATCCAGAGGCCAGTCACATTTGGCTTTGCCGCCCCTGGCTCTATGCTAGGCGTTGGAAGAACATACATGTACATGTAGGTACTGAACGTCTCCTCCTTCAACCTGCCTGCGGTCTTGGCAATGCATGCGCCCACGCCTAGGCCTATGACAGGACAGGAAAGAAGATGTCACCATCATTTTAGAGGCATCTTGCAGCTTCATCAACACGGTGCGTTTCAGATTCATCTGTAGAAATCGAATTGGTGCACTTACCAGTAACACCAAGAGTACACCAAGAGTACACCAAGAGTATAATATTATAACCCCTGGGACTTATGTACTCTTGGTATTACCCGAAGCACTACAGAGGACCTTACGGCTTGTCATCAGGTCTAAAATAGTTCAAGTCTCATCATCATCCAGTAACGTTCGGCATTGTTTGCTGTCGTGGGACATAGCTCGTGCTCTTATTCGTTGCACTTTCCTTCCCCTCCTTGGACTTTTCCTAACCTGAGCCATCCAAGGTGGAAGATTGTTGGTTTGCGTCTCGTAGATGTGTTGGAGCTAGGTGTCAGGTTGTTAAACATCTCAGCACCCGTGTTAGGTTTGCACCTCGTTGTGCCACTGTCTGACTGTATCCACCACAGCTGCAAGGGCTACAGTACAGGTGTCCATGATGGTATACTGTGTCGAAGTGTGAAGTTGCCGCCCAATGATGCAGTCGTCATTCCTGTTATTCCTAGTTCACTTGAGTCCGATGTCGTTCGTGCTGCTCATGTGAACTGTGGTCATGCGTCTTGACTGCTTGTCTTGGTCATATATTGCTATCTGATGAGTGTTTCTTAACACGAAACTCAGAGTAACGGGAGAAAAGTACTTGGATATTTCATTGCTGTCTGAGTATTCTAGTGTGCAATCGTTCAGGAAAATTGAACTTCAACAACCTCTTTTACGGGTTAAAAAACACCAAACGCAATGGATTGAAATACAATACAAAACTGGACACGAAATCGGAAAACAAAACGTGGTAAACAAAGTTTCATCACATTATTATTAACAACAAACACAATCCATGAAATCAAAGAAAACAATTGAACTAGTCGCCGTCAAGTTAGATGACATTGAAGAGTAGAATACGTCGTGTTCTTAGAACGGGAAATAAACAAAATAATACAAATGTGGGTTTCGACAAACAAACAAAGTGTTACAAAACAAGATGAAAAAGTGAGACGAATCACAAGTGTACTGCATTGATTAGCCTGAGATCATGAATAGGCATTATGAATAGGTACGACAATAAATGAAGACATACTTCAATGGATAAGCACTAGGACGCATCCGAGGCAAGACAGATTTGCAATTTACTCTCTGGCGTTTATACGCACACAACTGAGAAAACGAGAAAGCGGATTGTTAGCCCCAATTGTTTCGAAATATCGTTGCAATGACAGCACCTGAGCGGACACTAGTATTAATTCTGGATCCTTAAAACACGTTTTAAACCTAACACGGGTTGTTTGGAACTCTTGATTGAAACTTTAAATGTAATCCTTGTGTTCACGCTCAGTGTTCTGGTCAGAATTAGATTGGGACTGATCATCAACATCAGTGTATCTACGTGCTATACCATTCAATTGAGAACTTTCAATTACGGAAGATTTATAAATGATCTGGCATCCCGGTTTTGACCATCTGTCTACAAATGTCGTCACGCAAGACATGTCATGTAGATTTCCGACCACTACCACTCCGAAGTTGCTGTTCTTCTCCACCGCAACAAGAAGGGTTCTTTCGGGATCTAGTTTGACAATATCAAGAAACACCGGATGCTCAGCTCCAAGCTGTACACTGTCTAGTAGTTTTCAGCACTTGAGTAATATACAAGATAACACTGATCTGGTGTTCACTTGAGTAATATACAAGATAACACTGATCTGGTGTTCACAATACCCTCAATCCCGGCTGGTTTCAGAAAGTCAAAAAGTACCAAGAAACTTAAGATAATCACCTCCAGACTTCCTGGGACACCATGCAGATGTGATCCAACGCGAATACGATGTGCGTGCAAATGTGACTGCAAAATAGGGACTGCGAGGCTGTGGCTCTCAGGTCTGCTGGGCCGGCCATACCAGTGGCGCCCACCTTGAGGAGGTGCGACACCCTTTCCCATGCATTGTCACATTTGCCACATTTGTGGTGATCTGATCGATGACAAACTCGATTTGCATTGCTATGGTAGGTGTGGTGCTAGCGCTCGTCAACAATTTCTGAAAACACCCCCACCTACTATCATTACCACCAAGAGTACATTAACCACAGTACTCTTGTTGTGACTTGTTATCACCATCAGATCACAGGGCCCGCGTGTTCCTGCTGACCAACAGAGTCTTCTAAAACTCACACAGCATTGGCAATTTGCCATTCTGTATCCTACTGCTTGCCGCAAGCTGCCAGATCAGCAATCAGCTCCGAAGCAGACACTACTGGCACACTGCTAGCTAGAATACTTGAGCGGCACTATTCAGTACTATAATCAGTGGTCATGGTGGTGGTCTCTTGGTTGTCGCTTGCTTCGAGCAATCATAGCTCCGCTGTAGGCGCCTCCGGAACAGGGAGTGCTGAATTACCGGTATTTTACTACTCCCTGCTCCGGAGCAGGCTTCATTATGCACTCACTGTGCACTGACTGTCTGTAGCAGGTCCTTGTCCAATGCAGAAGTAAGAAAACAAGCCCAGGTTACAGCCAGGGAGTCGTCAAATAACGACTCCCTGGTTACAGCCTGCAGTTGTCGAGAACTGCTGTTTTAATTATGCCCAGTGACTATCCGGGCAATGACTATGTACCTGCTTGCACCACACAACAACAAGAGACATGTTAGATTTTAGGATGATCATGATCAACAGTAACCAAAGACCGACCATAGCACTGTTGTTAGTAGTTACTAAGCACTTCACCGTGATACTATTATAGGCGGTAATCAGGTAATAGGGTAGAGAGAAGAAACGTATAAATGTAAAAAAAGGCACACATGCCAACGCAGCCCTTCCGGGGCTCCTAGAGTTGATGACTAAAAAAAGCTTCCTTGTGGTAAAACTCAGATTCAACAGTCCAACGACTCAGTCTGTCGTCATCTACTGGTAGCAAGCAGAACACACAATGTCAGTCCCAGCAGTACTACTAGACAATAAAAAAAGGAGAGGCTCAAAGTCAAAACAAAGCAGGGCTGTCTGTGGAGTAAAGGGCTTCACCAGACACCATAAAAATAACAACTTCCTATAACAGGCACCATGCATCACAACTGAAGGCAGGGTTGGAGCGAGAGAGCGAGAAAAGAGAGAGAGAGAGAGAGAGAGAGAGAGAGAGAGAGAGAGAGAGAGAGAGAGAGAGAGAGAGAGAGAGAGAGAGAGAGAGAGAGAGAGAGAGAGAGAGAGAGAGAGAAACGCTGAGTGTGTTAGGTAAGGTTGTAAGTAAAATACGAATACATGTTCTCCTCTCCAGTTTGCTAGGGTTAAAAAGAGAAAAAAGAAGAAGCAAGACTTGGTTGGCTTGGAAAAAGCAAATCATTGCTATAATTATTCAGTACATGGAACACAAAGAGAGAAGACAAAAGCGACAGAGAGATGATGCAATGCAGCATTAAGAGAAAGGTGAGGCGGTCGGGTCATTGTGTCGGAAAGAATCCGCGAGCCGTGCGTGATAGCCAGAAGGCTGCTGCTGCTGCAGGTCTTGCTGATTGTCACCAGTCGGGTGTTGCTGAGAGTGAATGCCGTCGTGTTGTCCTTTGTAGCGAGGATCAGTCACGCCACGTCGAGGCCCGTGATAACTGGCCTCAGATGAAGACTGTGCTGGCTGATACGGGGCAGGTACTGCTGCCTCTGAGGCACGATAATGCATCTGCTGCTGCTGTTGCTGAAGCAGAGAACCTTGTCCATCAATGGATGAGCTGCTGCTGTTATACATCGTAGGGTACGACGGCTGCGTGCCTGCAGCAGAAGCAGCGGTGCGACGCGGGTCAGTGCGCGGGTCACGACCACTGCTGCTGTTGTTGCTTACTGCGGCAGGCATGTCGCCTTGGTGTGCATGCGCCTGTTGTTGCTGCTGCTGAGAATGCGGCTCGTTATGCTGCGAGGAATGACGCACATGTCCATGGCGCAGCGGTGAGCCGGGTTTCATATCCGGAGTAGGCAAGAGACTGCGCCGTGGACCCAGAGCTGCCGATGGCTGCTCTGCGGGCGCTGGCCCTGTTCCTACAGGAGTAGAGTCAACAGCGGGCGGCGCCACTGTAGCAGATCGGAGCCGAGGATCACGAGGATCACGTGGGCCAGACAAAGCTGTATCAGCTGCTGCAGCTGACGGCGGCGTGGCAGAGTAGTAGCCAGTGTTGCCAGTGACAGCGGCAGAGACGTGTCTGGGATCACTACCTGCTAAGGCATGACGCGGTGGCTCCACCGATGCAGGAGTAGCAGCAGCAGAAGCAGATGCACTGGGCATGTGAGCAGCGCGGCGTGGGTCCTGACGAGGATCCTGACGTGGATCGGCCACGACTTTGCTCTGTTGCCGCGGGTCAACACGACTGGGTTGCTGTTGCTGCTGCGATGAGAGAGTAGTGGGTGTCTGGTTGGCGTACGGCGGCTGCCTTGGGCCGACACCATGATCAGCGGCGTGCTGCATGGCATGTGGATCGGTGATGGTGGGCAGTGGTGGTGCACCGGAGTGGCGAGGGCCATGCTGCAAGGCCGCATGGCGCGGGTCAACAGGCACTTGGTGGTGCGATGGTCTGCCACCACCGCCGCCGCCGTTCTTGCTGCCCTGCTGCTGCTGCTGATGATGATACTGTGATGCAGAGTAGTGGCTGGGTGATTGTGAGCCTGCAGCAGCAGCAGCGGCAGAGACATGTCGCTGCCTCGCAGTACGCGGATCACTTACGGACAGCGGCAGCACCATCGCTGCCGCAACTGAACTTGGCTGAGGCATAGTAGAGGACATTGCTGTCGACTGCATGACCATACCACCAGCCATAGATTGAAGGTGGGGATCGGTGCTCTGAGCTCTCAACGTCTCGGCAGCCTCCTCTAACAAACCTCCAGAGTTGCCTCCTTGGGCACCAGGGGTGTGCTGCTGCTGTTTCTCATTCACTTTCTTCTCCATCACCTCGACCAGCTTCTTCAGAATATCTATTTGTTGGCGATCAATGTCACTGCCAGACGCTAATGACTCAGCCAGCAGCGTGACATCTCCGTTGTGAGGGACAGAAGGAGCGGTGGCTGTGGAAATGATTGGCTGCCTTGCTGCCGCTGCTGCGGGTACCTCCGTCTTGATCGCAGTGGCAGGGGTAGTGCGCACTTCTCTATCCATTTTCACAATAACGTTTGGCTCTTGCTTCACTGGGGCTGGCTCGCTCTTTACCTGTGGCATCACTTCTGGAACGGGATCACGCTGCATAGGCGGCAGTGTGGGTAGTTTAGGACGGCGTAAAGAGCTGCGCGGCAGTGGCATGTCGTAGGGCGCACGACACCCCACACTAGACTCGTAGCTGTCATCATCCATGTCTAGAATGACCATGGGCTCTCCATCCTCACCATCCTCCATATCGATCATCAACGGCGCAGTGTCAACGTCTGAATCGTCATCGTCGTTGCCGGCCATGGACGAGTACTTGCCACCACTGTCCGCATTTGCAATGGAGCTGGACGTGTCAGCAGCAGTGGCATACGGTCGATAGATGAACACTTCTTCTTCTTCCTCCTCTTCCTCTTCTTCAACAGCTGCCTCTGAGTTTGCAGCCGGAGCAGCAGTAGCGGGTGGTTTTCCTACTGACGATGCATTGGCGGCTTGACTAACATCTGCAGCCGCCTCCGTCTGGCTGTCCAGCTGGGACTGGCTTGGGTTGTTGGAATCTTCGCTGTACAGTCCGCGGGCAGCAATGTCGTCATAGTCGGTCGTGGTGCTGCTGTATAGCGACGGTGTTACCGGTAGCAGGGCAGAGCGTTGCGGCATGGTGCGCGACGCTGCTAGCTTGAACTGGGAAACACAGGCCACGGTGGAGTCGGCCACTTCTGTGGTGCTGGGCGGTGGCGACACAGCAACATTGTCATCAGAATAGTCTGGAGTGTTCTTCGGCAGGTTGTTGTACTGCAGATGGAAAGAAGAGAGAGAGAGAGAGAGAGAGAGAGAGAGAGAGAGAGAGAGAGAGAGAGAGAGAGAGAGAGAGAGAGAGAGAGAGAGAGCACACACACAGACACACGTACACACACACACCAATGAGCATGACATGGTGTTAGCCACGAATTGCAAAACAAGAAAGCAGGAATTTCATCAGCAATGACACTAAGCAAAGCAGACCCAAAAACAAAAACGGACTGCAGAAACTCTTACAAAAAGCTAGCGACAAGTTAAATCCCACAAATAATTTTACCAAGTAAACACAACATAGGACGCATTCATTTTTTATTCACACGTTGGCTCTGATCATGGTGGAGGGCGCTTGGACACTAAAACAGCAACTTCTCTCGTGAAGAAAGCATAGTGGCGTAGGAAAACTCCTCATAATTTGGTGAAGTGGATAAAGGAACAGCTTTCTTCATTCAGCTCTATTTCACGCACTTACCTAGGGTACCCTGTAAAAAGACTCACAGTCTGTGGGGATTGCCCTAGTAAAATAATAAATACTACAACTACAGTACCAGGCATCTAGCCCGATTGACCTCCAAGCAGACGAAAAGACCGGACACACTAAACTCACCCTGTCCAACATGGCTCTCCTCTCATCGGTGAGAGGGTCGTGAGAGAAACGGCACGCTGGACCTGAGAAGCAGTACGTGCCACTGTGGAAATACTTGCACGGAAAGTCCTCTGCACAGAACACACACAGAAGAGATCAGGAGATGATACAAAAAATAAGCTGTCCTGACGATGTAACATAACGCACCCGCACACACACAGACTTTGAGCATCACTTCAGTATAGGGTGTAGGCTCAAACATGGAGGGAATCGCGTAAAACAAAGTGGATCATATTCAACATCAACTGGCGAAAATTAACATATTGCACAAGCAGCCTAATGCATCAATGCATCAATGCAGCCACTGTGCTGCACGTCAAGGAAAAACATGACCCCCACCCCCAACACACACACACACACACACACACACAAACACAAATACACATACACACACTACCGGTATTAACATCATTGCCAGTACTCACCATGCATGTAGAGACAACTCTCGCCTCTGGAGCAGCAATCCTGCGAATAAAATTTGCACAGCTCTGGTTTCTTCTCACGTTTCACGTTGTGACTGAATGTACAGTCCGCGCCCTGGATATACACAAAGCACCAAGACCAACTATTGTTTCACATGATTGTAACTATAATGTATTCATTGCGGGGTCAGAGAAACGGAATACATCTCCATCCCAGTATCATATTCAGATCTTCCTCCTCCACCAGCACCAGCACCATGTCGTGGATAATTGTACGACACAGCAAGTGAGCCGCGAAAATACTCACAAGCAACAGCAAGCAAACCAGACATAGCAAGAAAAGGACATACGGATACGAGTTGAGCGTAACTGTCCACCACTGTAACTAGATACTATAATACAGTCAGGAAGTGCAACAACTAGGCACAAAACTGACAGAGTACTGAGACATTCTACACATTTCACATTTATTATTGGCTCAACATCCGAGTTTCAAAGCAGACAAAGCAACATGAACATACCTTGTGACAACGTCCTTCCATGTAGTAGCGACACGGTACTAGCGGTCTCTGAGCGGCTCGCTCTGAAGCCTCATCCTCTTCGCGCTTCCTACGGTCTCTCCACTCACGGTTCTTTTCCTCGCGGCGAGCTGATAAGCGACTTCCGCCACGATCGCGACCTGCAGAAATGCACACACACACACACATCCGCACAGAGGAAAGAGAGCCGCACAGATCAGACACATGGCCATTTTCCAGTGGGCTTATGATGCATGTACAACACACAAAGAGGTCCTGTCCAATAGAGAGTGCTTAATGCCGAAGGGCAGAGGGCTGTTTTCTCATGATCTCTTCGTGCGTGAAACTCGGGAGTAAAACCACTGTTTTCATCCTTTTATTCTTGTATGATGCATGTACTGTCAGATAGAAATTCAAGAAAAAGAGCTGGGATAAAACCAGCCAAATACGTGTATAGAGAGCTTCTTTCAAGGAGAGGGTTGCCTGATGATTTGAAATCGTACATGTACAGGTACCAGCAGAGCCTAATGCTCTGTGATCCGTGGAGAGCTTCGCTTCACAGATTTTCCCATGCTACTGTAACTTCAGGTTGCATCTGTGGAGAACTACAATGCACTTAGCACTGAGAAAACAGCTGATCTGCGGAGCTGATACGGACAACACCTCGCAACAGAGAGCCGTGCATGTACCTAACCTAGAGCAGAGAAAGTAAAATGCAGGAGTTGCGCATCCACTGAACGGCCATGATGCATCCGTGCAGCATGAAAGCTGGACACACCATTGCGCAACAACATTATATACACAAGAGGTACATAACGGAAAGTACATATGTAGGGCTTTTTGTTGTAAGTCACAGTTCCATGGTAACGACCAATCATCAGACAGCCGCTGTTTCCTTTGTGTACCTCTTAAGTACTGCGCCCTGCTCACGCCGGGCATTGAGTTCTATAGCAGGGGCGCACTGCCTCTGTGATATGCATGTACGTAGTAGTAATTCGAGAATGGCCAATATGAATGGATGAGGAAAAGCCCAGCGCATGCCACGTACCTTTGTCAACCAGAAGATGAGAATCACCCTGCAAACACACGCAAGCAAACACAGCACACCATACACTGAGCAACGTCTACATGACCTACACTAAACCTATGCAGTTCACACTCAACTTAACACTAACATTACGGGACACATAAGAGCCTGTTGGGAAGGCTGGTGTGAGCTGTAAAGTCTAAGACTCGTACGGCACGACATGCAGCAGTTATTGCGATGGCAAAACCTTGATTGGGACGATTAATAGAGCACGATCCATGTTGTTCAATTTCGGCCTTTTTTTCTTTTTCAGTACTTCTTTCCTATTGTTAGCCAGTCAAGTGTCAAGTCGTCGGCGGAATAGCGCGAGCTCCAGTGTGGGAGCAAACCCATTCTTTTCTAGTATTTCTCCTTGACTGAAGCAAAATCGCACTCATAATACATATACCACTTTCTAAGGAAGGCCAAAAAGTAGTAATCGACTGTGTGCCATTCTAATAATAGCCACAGGGAAAGGATAAAGCAGCTCGTCTGAAACACTCCTGGACAATCCCTAAATCAAGCAAATAGCTTGAAATCCTAGCTTGCTAAATCTAACCCAGTCATGTGAGCCAGCCATTCAGTGAGCTATCATGGAAAGCGTACTGTTTAAAATGCTGAATTTGCAAAGCTGCAGTTGCGCACATTGCCCATAACACCGTCGCCAGTTCACATTCGAAATGCAGCCATTTTACAGTTTCGCTCACTGAAATCCGATCCCAAGTGCAAAGCTGGCGCCCTCGACTGGCATGGGCCCTTGACGCCCTGGAAGTGGCACGGATGCGACTGGACGCACACGTGTACAAACAGAACGGTGTAATCGGAACTGGTCCAGGGCGCCAGCTTTGCAATTTGGGCCAGATTTCAGTGAGCGCAACTGTATATGCTTGCGTTCTGTGCACAAGGCTACTGAACACGCAAACAGCAATTCATCAGAAAGCAAGACAACAAGAGTAGAAGAGTACATGTATTACCTCCGCTGCAGCCACAGTCACGTCAAAGTGGTGTCCAGTTGTCAGTGAAGACAGAGAGGAACTCTTAGCAGGTGAGGCGTTCTTGTCATCGCGTGCCGGAGACCTGCGAGAGGCTCTGGCGTCCGATCGCGACGACAGATCTCTGTCTCTACTGCCATGGCCGTAGTCATACGTGCTGTGGGACGAGCTGTTACGCTTGGAGCTCCCGTGGCCGTGGTCGTACGTCTCGCGTCTTACCGGCGAGCTGTCCGTGTGCCCATGGCGATAGTCCACGCTGTCACGGCGATAGGGGCCAGACCGTGACGATGGCGGTGACGACACAGATCTGTCGTCGGAATTGTAGAACGCGCCGTGCGAGCTCCCACGATGCGGCTGCTGCTGCTGCTGTTGCTGCTTCCTGGTGAGATGACGCAGCTTGGCACGTGACAGCTCCAAATCAAAGTTGTCCTCCTCGACACCATCCTTGGGTGGTGCTGGAAGGAGGGTCTTTCTTGCCTTCGGTGCAGCTGGGCGAGGTTTTATTCCAAACGCCGAGGACATGTTCTGGATGGCCTCCAGGCTGGAGCGCGGCTGGCGACGTCTTTTCTGGGAAGGGTCCTCGTCACTGGCATCGCTACACGAATAGCCATTGTTCTTGTGTGGGCTATTGTCACTTGTCGAATGCCGGTTCTTCATTTCATACTCATCATCCTCACTATCATAGTCTGATGCAGAGTCTTCGCCATACGTCCGACGTGGAAAGGCGGCCTACACACACGCAAAAAAGTGAACATAAAACAAAGTTTAACAAACAAACGTACACACGTGACCACATCGCGTGCACACATGCACACACACACACACACACACACATCGCCAGCCAGCACCTGCGAATGCGCATCCTATTTCTAGTTAAACCTCAGCATAACACATTACGGAGGACAGTGACGAGAGAGCTGCCCGCTCAGGGCCCTCACCATGCTTCGCCTTTCGGTCATCATAATACAGTGGTCCCTCTATAATCCGGCACCATTTGTGCCACGGAAATCTGCTGGATTAGGGAGGGTGCTGGATTAACAAATCTGATCCACTGCTGCAATGTGCATGAAGAGGACATTTGGCTACTGAAAATTGTGCTGGTTTATCGAGGGTGCTGGATTATAAAGTGCCGGATTAGAGAGGGACGACTGTACTAGAATTGATGGGAACATCTTAGCAATACGGATAGCTGGTACATCTTATGCCATTGCACAGACACTACCAGTTTGAATAGCATGTACGATGGATGACCTAGGCAAAGACAAAACATAGCGAGGGCCCTCGAGTCTGCGAGCTGGCTCCCGATGGTACGGCCCATATACGGGATATTGTATGTCTTCTTCTGCTAATACGGAACCTACAACCTACAACTTAGTACATGTTACAAGCTACAATCACGTGATCAGTCCCGTGCATTGGGCCTAGCCAAAATTTGCTCGGGGCACTTCGATATTTTACCAGCAAATTTTGCCAGAACACTTTCCGTATTTTGCTTGGCATTGCCTTCGTTTCCGATATTTTGCTCTGTTTTGCTCCTACTTTGTGGCAAAACTGGCTTCGAATGAACCGTGTACTTTGGTAAAAGTGGATGGTGACTGATGAGGAAAGCAAAACTGAAAATGGTGTCAGTATTACGGATTTTGTAGCATTATTTCAAATTTATGTACCCCTGACAACCTACACGAGCTATTTTAGCACAACTTTGGCCCAATGAAACCAAAGAAATTAGAATAAAATTGCCAAAACACACCCGGATCCTCTGTAAATTCGATATTTTGCTCGGAATTTGCCAACAATTTTTTCGTGGGAAATTTCAATATTTTGCTGGAAGCATTACCGGCAAACTTAGGCTAGGCCTACCGTGCATGCCAACAACGCCGCAAACTCACACACACGTCACTCCGTAACGTTCTTGCATAACTTCGGGAATAATCTGTATATTCTGCAGCTGGGGTACACTGTATATCCAAGGTCAATTGACTGGTATACCACTATGCAAGTCCTTCAAAACAGCACTTTATAGCCCAGCGTATGTTCTATCTAGAGCACTTTGTACTTGACAATTTCACGGTATGTACAGCAGTTGGCATTGAATAGAGCCACACTGCGAATAGTTGTGGCCACCCACTGATGTATGCGTATGTGTGTGCATGCGTGTGTGTGTGTGTGTGCATGCGTGTGTGTGTGTGTGTGTGTGTGTGTGTGTGTGAGAGAGAGAGAGAGAGAGAGAGAGAGAGAGAGAGAGAGAGAGAGAGAGAGAGAGAGAGAGAGAGAGAGAGAGAGAGAGAGAGAGAGAGAGAGAGAGAGAGAGAGAGAGAGAGAGAGAGAGAGAGAGAGAGAGAGAGAGAGAGAGAGAGAGAGAGAGAGAGAGAGAGAGAGAGAGAGAGAGAGAGAGAGAGAGAGAGAGAGAGAGAGAGAGAGAGAGAGAGAGAGAGAGAGAGAGAGAGAGAGAGAGAGAGAGAGAGAGAGAGAGAGAGAGAGAGAGAGAGAGAGAGAGAGAGAGAGAGAGAGAGAGAGAGAGAGAGAGAGAGAGCCAGAGCCCATACCCTGATGATACATATTGCTGGTCCCATTGCCGAAACCTTGTGCACGTATGTATGAGTGCATGTGCAAAATAAGTGGGTGTGCAGGGGGGGGGGGGGGGGGGGGGGGGAGACGTGCACAGATATGTTGATGTTTGTTCTGGCGCATGTACGTATGCTTGCCCATGAAAGTGTAGAAACAGCGAAGAGGATAGGTGTGCATCATGTCACTCCTGTGTCTTATGTAGGCATTGACTATTTCAGTGCAGATAGCCAGCCTACGTCCAGTCAACTCGTGGCTGTCATGCTGTCAACCGTGCTTTGGTGTGCGTGTACATTGCCCTGTCAGGCTCTGGAACAGACGGGAAGTCTGGGGCATTGCAAGGCAAGAGATCCCCTCAAAGGACTTGACTGCTGGACCAGTGTGTCGTACATGCTTTGTAAGCCATATCAAGAGTATTACTGTGCAGTTCGAATGGATTTGTATGCACGCTTATGGAAGGAAATCCATGCGTCGAAAAAGTCCATATTAAGCAGGCGCATGCCTTATCCAGGTATGCACTGTGCGAGGTCCACTATGTACATCCACGTACAGACATACTCATGGTGCGGTGGGTGGCAGCATAGACTGTCTTGTACATGTAGTCGTTTACATGTACACCACAATGGCTGTCTGGTGCAGTGGTGGTTGCATGTACCCAGATTACAGTGGTCAGCGTGTGCGTTTGAAGTTGGTCTTTTTTTTCCTGGGCATTGATTTTCGACGTACTGCATTGTGCTTTTTCGCCAACATTGCGCCATTGTTGGCCTACGTAATAGGCTATGGTCATGGGAGTGAACAGGAGAGTACATAATACTCCCAGAGTGCGCATCTCGCATACCACCGCCGTCTCGCCCACACTGTTCTTGCCGTTTTTAAGGCGCGCGGCCAGCTGCACACTGTCGCCAAACCCGCGTACAAGTGTACCAACGGGTCACATGTAGCTGCGTAGGCGTGTGTACAAGTTTGTACATGATTGAATCATAGCAAATGTGTACAGGATTGGATCACGGCGAGTCTGTAGACGATAGGATCATGGAAAACACGCACACGAATGTAGGAAAACATGTGCAGATCGCGCAACGCACCGTTAACACTGATGTCAACAAGAAAATTTGCCGGTACAGCACTGAATACATAATTATGTAAACTCTTGATTGAGACTGTGCACAGTACATCAGCCGCGTGTTGTGTGATTCGAATGCAACTGTTGCAATAAACAGCTCAAAGCTTGACGATAACGATCAGGCAAACTAAGGCTGCTGAAGTAACGCATCTCTTGTAGTTTTTATACAACACATGGACGTGACCAGAAACACGAGCACACATTCTGAATAGGGAAAGTTCCGTATGTAGCTCCCCGTAGTCAAACTTTCCCAAGTGCAGATGGCTCTAGAAACTGGACAGCCCCTGTACAATGCTGTACTGGCATTGTACATCATGGATGGCATTGAGTATAAACAAACACATACACCTTAGGGGTCGTCGCAAAAGTTTTTTGTCGTCCCTGAAACGAACATGATTCATTTGGGGGGGAGGGGGTGCGAGCCAAAATCGCAAGTCGACCGACACTGTACACATAACATGTACATGCATGCGATTTTTGTCGTCCAGCATAGCAAACTGTGTTCGTTTCAGAGGGAGGGGAGGGGGTCCAAGTACGAAATGAACGATGTTCGTTTCAGGGACGACAGAAAACTTTTGCGACGACCCCTTAGCTACAGATGTCGGCCTGCAGTGGATATGCTGGCGAGTTTGATGTACGGTGCCAAGAGTATAATTATAACCCCTCAAGAGTGTGCAACTCCAAGATGGGTGCCGTCCCGGCAGAATTTCAAAATGTTACTGTTACCACATGATGCAATGCGTACTGTGCACGTATTATCAGGCAATCCTGGACATGTGGTGGAATCCCATTTGATCCTGTACAAACTAGTTCAAGGAAACATGTGTGATGTGCTGACACCCCGTAAAAAGGTCGCAAATCACTGGACCAGTGCATCATTAAAAAAAAGTCATCTTGAAATCCCGCCGGGACAGCAGGGTATGCAGACGTTACGCGCCCTTGGGGGCATGTACTCTTGACGGTGCTGGTGCACAGTGTGAGGTCATTGTGAGGTTCATTGATGCGTTAATTTTTAGTTGGACCGTGTAACTGTGGTGAACCTTGTGACGTGGGTGATACGACTGTGCAGTTGGTGTTTGCCTTTGGTTATTCGGAGATATACAACACCACGTTACGTCGTATGCAAAAAGTGTCATGCTACATAGAAGCCTGATAATGACCAAAAAAACAAGTCAATGCTCAGACGGACTGAGGTCAGTGAGGAGTGAGGTGCTATGCCAGTACTCTGGTACTTGTACAGACAAGGAAAACTCCATAACCAGAAGTGCGCATGCGCCCCATTTGACAGCATGGCGAAAAATATGCTTTGCGCATGCCGCTAGCTCGCTTGCGCTGTCAAGTGTCGAAGACTCCAAAAAAAGAGACTGGAATGAGAATCGAACAACAACCGACAAACGACAGCAAGATGAAAAGGTTCGAAGTTGAGAGAGCCTTGACAGGGAACAGGGCACATTTTTCACCTTCACAAAGCGAAGCTCCTCATGTCTGTCGTGTTCCCTTCGCAAAACGAAAATGAGATTGTTGCACTGTTCACCACAAGTACACGGTCCCCTCACAATGAATGGCAAAAACCTGTTAGCTAGGACTTGATTTTCCTGACGAAGCATCAGGACTTGGACCAAGTGGCTGAAAAAGGAAAGACAAGAAAAACCAGTACAGTTGAAATGGAACAAAATTGTGCTGTTTTCTTACCTCGCGATCATGGTTAACCCGGTCGTGTTTTTCTCTTTTTGCAGGTGGTATCGGAATACTGGTGTCAGTGTCTTCCTCACCAGAGGAACGAGAACGCTTCAAGGTCTGTTGGGGAGAAGGGCTTTCACTCGTGTCTTTATCTTCGACCTCTCCCTCACTTTCTGATTCCAGGATTTCACCGTCTTCAATTTCTCCATCTTCAAGGTCACTCTTGTCGCTGTTCGACGCCATCTTGAAATAAATATTGAGTCTGTTCTTTCTACAATGTTACTGCATTAGAACAACGACTGCGAATATGAATCCCCTCTTGCTCTCCCGAAATCTGCTCACAATGTGCGACAATGAGATTATGACTGCGTATCTGGCCTGGTGCAACAGAAATGGACATACAATTCTAGCAAGAAACCTAGAATGCCACCTGTGAATTGGACTTGCCAAACGAGACGACTCCGTTTTCCCCAGGCAGACTCACGAACATCAATGGATGCTGAAAGTCGTGCAACGAACAAATTATAGGTGGACGGTACTCGATGAAGGGTGAAGGCCAGAAGACGTGAGGATCTCTTTGTCCGCTGAAAAGACGATCTGCTTTCTTCTTGACTTTATTACTTGTGAACGACCAGCAAACGTTCCTCGTTCTTTTTGAATGCTATGCTGATATGCATGTGAGCTGTGCTGCAGGGCTTCTACACGTAGACTCAGCGACTGCTCGTGCTCCGCGCCGTGCGGCGTATGCCCGGCATTGCGACGGATCTTCGCGTAGGTCTACGTAGGTCTACGTGTGTACAGACTCGCTCGAGTCGATCGAGTGCATGCTGGGGCGCCGGGCGTAGATCTACTCGTAATACAGTGGTAGGTGCAGAGTGCAAGGTCCTTGCATGCAGAGTACGGGCGAACAAAACACAATAAAAATTTTGCCATGCGTGGAGGCCTTGGTTGGAAACAAATCACTTAATGATGACGTCACATGTGAGAGAGAGAGGTCCTCGCACTCGCAGAGTGCACTTCATGATTTGCGTGCAGTTTAAAATCACTGATTTCGCTGATTTCGTGGCTTGGTGCCCACGGCCGGGCCAAAGTAAATCGCAGGCCTATGTCATGTAAGTAATTATTAGTTGTAAGTCAAAGTTTGTCACACATGACATACTACCAAGAGTACATAAACATGTACTCTTGATACTACTGTACTCTGTAGTAACACGGCCACGGCCAAAAGTTTCATTTCGAGATCGGCCAAATAATTGCAAAGTTTCTCACCGGCCAAAAATTGTTGATTTACAGTAGTCCCCACGCGTAGATCTACAGTTGCGCTCGGTGAAATCCGGCCTGAAGTGCAAAGCCGGCGCCGCGAAGCCAGCTCCCATTACATCACAAGCGATTTGTGTGTACGAACTCAACTGTACGCACCTCGTGTAAAAGTTCGGAGTGCACGTGTAAAAAAATAAAAACATTTCGAAATGTCTTTCCTGTTTCATTCACCTCACGAAGTACAGCTCAAGATCAAGAAGAGATAGAGAAGAAGGACATGGCCATTCCCAATGTGTGGGCTCCTCTCAAGAAGAGAATAATTCCACATCGCTGCGAGAATGCTGACCAGCTGGTGCAGGCACTACACCTGGAGTGGGACTCGTTGGCTCCTGACACGGTTTCCCCGCCATACGTGGAGTCAATGCCACGTCGTGTTGAAGCCCTAATCGAGGCAGACGGTGGCCACACAAAATATTGAAGCCCTGCTGCTCTGTGTATGAAATAAACTGCTCCGAAACCATGGAAACGATCTCCTTCTTCTTTACTTGTGCTGAACATGAACAGTGAACTGAAATGAATGTTACACTTGTCTTTGTTTGGCGCGGTTTTTTACACTTTGGTACAGTTCATACGGTGCACGTGCACACTAGCACTTGTACAACTTTGAGGGCGTCAAGGGCCGCATCAGTACTGGGCGTCAGTTATGCACTTTGGGCCGGATTTCACCGAGCGCAACTGTAGTACCGGGGACCATGAATCATGACAAGAGTATGAACTCTTGATCATGATTATACAATGCATGTACTCGTACCAAAGAGTTTGTACAAGCGACGCGCATGGGATCCCGGGGAATTGGCTCTCTTGCACAGCTTGACGAATATTGTTGTCATTGAGAATTTTATTGGTACTACTGGTTCTGCACGATGGATTTCCAAAACCGTGCCGGTGGCAAGACTGGCTCTGGTGGTGTGGCATCATGGTCAGAAACGAACAGAGACAGGCGGGAGCGCCTCAGGCAGCTAGCCTTGGACACAATTGACTTGAATAAGGTTAGCTACTCCTGAATTATTAATATTTTTTGAATTTTTAGTTCTCCATTGAAAAGTTGCCTTTTTTCTCACATTATCAGCGTGCTCGTAGTTTTATGACTATAAGCTGTATTTCGAGTCGTTTCTATCTATTCAGCAAGCATGTGCATTCATTTACATTGAACAAACTCGAAGTAGCACCAGCAGAGCGAAATGTGCACCGTGCATTCACATTATCACAAATTCGGCTTGATATTTGTCGCGAAATTTCTCCTTTGATGCATGTATGTAATGAGTCACATGCTCTTCACCAGGTATAAACGCATGTACCCGATGAGCACTGTTCGTAGCAGTGTAATCTGGATTCACATCGCACTGCTGAGTTAAAATCTTGTGTAGAAGGCTAGTTTGTGCATTTCTGAACATTCATGATTCAAGCGATGCTGACGCGGATCCCGCGAATACCATCATCATTAGTACAATCATGTACATAACAGCTTGCATACAAATCATATGGATCAAGACGACAAGGAATGGGTTGCCTGCAATATAGAGGCCTTGCGAATAGAATCATCGTTATTACCATCTGGAGTATTGACAAAACAATGAGAGTGATGCCGCTCTATGCACTGCACCTCGTATGATAGCGCAACCACGTATTATCTCCTTCACCCTGCGTGCAGTCCAACCACAGACGTGTTAGCACCAACGCCAGAGGAATGCTCTGCTTTGATAGTAGTGACTGCGACTCAGTAATAATTGACTGCGGGCATGCGTTGACTTCGGATTTTTCGATTCATCTTTCCGGATCTCGTTTTCATGGATTTTTCAATAAAGTTCTTTGACACAGGGGAATACCCTATTACACTTAGATATCCAGTAGAGCCTAACTCTCCTGATTTGTGGAAACCTCGCAAAAGCAGACGGTGGGGTGGCCTTCGAACACAGGAAAATGCGTTCCGTCCCATACACTTCTATCCGCAGTGCTATGGTGCAAACACAGCCACCGCCTTATACTGCACAAAGGGTAGGTCTGTTCATCGGGGTGTCTGGGTGACCCAGCACCATGTGGCCGTATATTCACATGACATGGTTGTAGGAATTACTAGTGGCACAGACCAGTGCTCAAGGTCCATCCGGCATTACATCACTAAACTTTGGGGGTTTGTTAAGTGAGCACGCGACCCAATGTACCCCTGTCTTGACCTTGATGTACTGAACACTCTCTGTACCACAAGAACACTGTACACGACGTCATCGAGATAGGTCTCCGCTCTTAAATGTGTGCATCTGTCCAAGATCCACTAGCTAGTTCTGTGAATTTGTGCTGCAGAAAGTTTCTATGCGGTTCAGACACGTACACACACGCCCACGTGCGCGCACATACACACACATGTGCACGCGCGCAATCCGCACGTACCCTTGCGTGCACTGCACTGTCTTGCACTGCAGGCCCTAACACGTTTTCGTGATCAAGTCCTGAAAATGTCTCATTGCCAGCATATACGTGCACTCACAGGTGTGTGTGTGTGTGTGTGTCCAATTTCACTTCAAGGTACCAGTGCATCTAGTGTCTGCTTCTATCAAAGCAGTGTGTAGACAGTCTGTACTGGTTCCCCCAGCAAGTGTAGGGTGTGTATAGGTAACTGTCTTGGCCGTTTTATGCCGATGTACTCCGTGTGGTGTAGACCAGGTGTGCATTGGTGGTCGATTCAAATGGCTTCGCCAGTTGTGTGGATTAGACAGTTATCTGGCGCAGGTCTTGATCTGTCTCATTCAGATCTTGTTCGCTATCGTTGCTATAAGAGAAAATCTGTGGGTGCACGTCCAGTGCATTTGCAGATTTGCGTGCTTCTCTTGCGACGGGCGTATACATACATGGTGTGTGCGTGTCTGTGTGCGTGCGGGAGATATTTTCTTTCCTGATTGATCGTTCGTTCGCGTCTCTCTCTCTGTTTCTCTTTCGCTCTATCTATCTTTCTCTCTCTCTCTCTCTTCCTTTCTCTTTATTTCTCTCACTCCAGGATCCTTACTTTATGAAGAATCATTTAGGCTCGTATGAATGCAAGCTCTGTCTGACTCTACACACAAATGAGGTGAGTCGCAACCGTTGTCGTGTTGTCGCTTTCGAGCTGCGTACCGGTATATATATATATATTTGCCACTCAATCACACTGACAGCTGCAGCAATGATGCGGCCGAGCTGCGGATAAGTCACTGTGTCCTCTAGCCGGCAGTGTGTCACTGTGTTGACCAGCATACTAGTCTTGCCATGCTTCCTTTCATTCTCTGCTAAGTACTTCAAAGTAATGCCACGCAAAGTGGTCATTGGCTACCCCAGCCATGTATTGCTTGAATAAAATAAAACGAGAGAGCTTGGAAGCTCAGGGCCCTACGCTATGCTTTTTTGCCTTGATGACCTAGACAAAAAAAGCATAGGGATGTTATAAAATAATTCTTATAAATTGCTACTTTTTGTTTTTAGACATAACCTGGGATTCGAACCCGCACTTTCGCCCTGCATGCATCCCCTGATACACTTCGCATACATACTAATTCTTCCAAGTTGCTTCACGTTATGATCTTGTATTTGAAAGCCCTATTTGAATATGCATTGTGGCCAGCCGTCTTTGATTGTACGGTACGGGACAGGTACGGGACAGGTACGGTCGAGGGTAATACGACACCATCTACCGCCTTGATGACGGCAAAAAAAGAATAGGGATGTTATAAAGTTTTCAATTTTCCTTTTTTTTTTTCAGGCATTACCTGGGATTCGAACCCTCACTATCGCCCTACATGCATTCCCCCCTACACTTCGCATTCATACTCATTCTTCCAAGTTGCTTCACGTTACGATCTTGCGTTTGAAAGCCCTATTTGAATAGTGCGGCCAGCTGTATGTGGCTAGCTGTGTTTGATGGTACGGTACGGTACGGGACAGATACGGGATAGCGCCAGGCGTGACACAAACACACAAACACCAAATTAAAGCTGTGTGGACCCTGGCTAGCGCCAGACGTTACTGAAGTAACGTCTTCTGCATAGCTACGGGAATAAAAATAAAATAACCCCTGGCTTCCACTGCATGTGTATCCGCCATACCGATACCGTAATTCCATCGGCTTATATGTGAAATAATGCACTTTCGGGGGTAAAATAGCCAGGGAAAAATTGTTTGTTTTAGCCCTGGGTCAATATTAAAAAGTTGAAGGTACAGTCGTGGCCAAAGAAATCCGACCCACATGCCGAAAGCAGCGTCAAGGCTCATGCGGCCCCTGCAGTCCTCAGATCAGCTTTTGGAGCGTGCATGATGTAATTGAAATGGAACCGCGGCGCTGCTTTTGACTCGTGGGCGGGATTTCTTTGGCCACAATTGTACGTGAAAAAGTACGAGTCCGTGGGCATAGTTTGTCTACTGTATTGTACTGGTAAACTGCACTGACCTGCTGTACAATGGTAGCAAGAGTCCATATTGTGAACATATTCTACTCGAAAGTCGGGTTGTATTTGTGTCTGTTTACTAGCACATGGGCCTATAAAAGGAGGTGGGCTTAAATCCGAATACAGGCTTATAAGCGCCGGATTACGGTAGTCATTTTACGCGCAATTTAATTATATTTTTCATACCGGCATGCGGAGTATTATGGACAGATATGGGTATTTGTGTGCACAAGGTCCTTCTCATGCTTTGTGAACACTTTGGTATCCCCTGTTGTTTCCTGGTGTTTCCAGGGAAGTTACTTGGCACATACACAAGGAAAGAAACATCAAGCTAACCTGTGAGTTGTTCCCCTGGCTGCTTATAGGCCATTCACACGACGTGCAAACACATGCACGCGTGTGTGACCAAGATAACACTGGCAAACCGTGATCCAGTTCACACGGTGCTGGGCAAACTTTGCACGCATCAATGCATCCATAGTGACCTCCTGAAAATGCCGGGAAATTTTAAATTTTGAATTTTCCTCTGTTCAAGCACTGCATTTCCAGTACCCACTTTCAACAACCGACACTTTTGCTGGCGGGCACAGTATAATCGTGAGCACAAGGGACTCGGCCAAGTTCGAAAATCAGTTGCACGCATGTGTCCAAGTTTATCGTATGGAAGTAAATATCCTTGGAAACAGTACGATAAAAGTGAGTTTGCACGTCTTGTGAATGGCCTATTAGAGTTCTTACTTCTCAGTCACGCCACTCTCCACATCACCATTGCGCTTTTCGGCCACTTGTGTCTAACCTGCCAGAGAGCTCTATGGCAATGTGGAGAATGAGATGACTATGGTCCTGAAATTTCAATTGCTCAATAACATTACTGCTGCTGGCTGGCCTTCTTGTTCTGAGATTTCTGATATGGAAGCTAGTTCTGTCCCCCACGTGCTGTCTGTGTCTGCCTCTGTGTGTGTGTGTGTGTGTGTGTGTGTGTGTGTGTGTGTGTGTGTGTGTGTGTGTGTGTGTGTGTGTGTGTGTGTGTGTCTCTCTCTCTCTCTCTCTCTCTCTCTCTTTGTCCGCATGTTTCAGG